TCACAAAACCCCGACAACACGAATCGCCAGTCACCAGCTACTAACGACAACCAGCTGATTGATACACATACACTCGAATCGACAACACTCCAAACAACGTCACTCACCATGCTCCAATTCAACCGACACCAATATCATTCATACTATCCAACTGTTCAACATCAAATGTACAATAGGCGAGCACCCACACGCTCTCACGCACACACACACACACACACACACACACACAGAAATACAGAATACACCACCTGCACATACATGCACATAATTGCCTCATCCTGACTCAATTCAACAACACAACTTCCCTATACTGGAGACCGGATTCACATCACCATCGAACACGCATCAATATCACTCGTGAACATCACAGACTCGAGTTGATTTTTGCAGACATTGGAATCGACGGGAGGTGGAGAATCTCACTGTGACTCAGTCGGTGTGACGGGAATGCAGGATGAATGAATGAATACCTGTGCAGCGTGACAGTGAGAAGCAGGCAGTTTCACTTTGTTGACGGTGTGTGGTGACTTGTAGATGAGAGGAGTTCGTGTGAATGGGAGACGACAGACGTGTGAGAGAATGTGAGTGAGTGAGTGAGTGAGTGAGAGGGTGATTGTTTGAATAAAGTAAAAGTTGGGTGTGTGTGATTGGGTATGTGTGTATGCATGCATGCGTACGTGACTGAGTGCGTGTGTCCACGTATTTGTGTGTGTCTGTTTGGTTTTGTGTAGGTCGCTGCTTCGAATCAGTGTGTGCATGAATATGTGACTCATTCATTGATTGAGGAGGCGACTGAGAGATTGATTTTCGGAGAGACGAGATGCTGGTGTGCAGGTGAGAGAGGTGGAGAGAGTGAGAGAGTTTGAAAGGGAGAGGGTGAGAGGGAGAGAGATTAATTGAGAGTTGGCGTGTAGAATTCGAATTCGAATTCGAATTAGCATTGACTTTCATTTGTGATGTTGACAGAGGGATTTGTATTGTGAGCGTGCAGTGTGGTGGACATCGGAATAGATTGGGTGTGTGAATTTGTGAAATGTTGGGATGGATTGTAGTGCGAGAGACTGTGGCCTGTGTGAATGTGGAGTGTATGAATTGTGTTGGTAATTTGTGAGTGATAGTGTGAGTGTGTGTGTGTGTGCGTTGTGATAAGATGTAGTGTATGTTGTCGAGGATGTGATGAGAAGTGTGTTGGCGGCGAATTGTGGCTCGTTGGTCTAGGGGTATGATACTCGCTTAGGGTGCGAGTGGTCCCGGGTTCGAATCCCGGACGAGCCCAGGTTTTAACAAAACACCCCACACACTCACACATCCCCCTACACCACGCCACGCAACGCCTACCCACCCACACACACGCACACACACATACATACACTACACACGGACGACCAGAATCCGTTGACAAACAGACATATCAAAGTGCACACGCTCACAGATATGTGTCAATCAACACGAATACAACGAGACTAATACTACTCTCAAACAATTCACACTGACACACAAACAAACTGCCACAAACACACACACACACGTACACACCAAGACACTCAAACCAAAAATAATCGCATCACACAAAACCCCGACAACACGAATCGCCAGTCACCAGCTACTAACGACAACCAGCTGATTGATACACATACACTCGAATCGACAACACTCCAAACAGTGTCACTCACCATGCTCCAATTCAACCGACACCAATATCATACTATCCAACTGTTCAACATCAAATGTACAATATGCGAGCACACGCTCGCGCGCACACACACACAAACACAAACACAGGAATACAGAATACACCACCTGCACATACATGCACATAATTGCCTCATCCTGATTCAATTCAACAACACACAACTTCCCTATACTGGAGACCGGATTCACATCACCATGGAACACGCATCAATATCACTCGTGAACATCACAGACTCGAGTTGATTTTTGCAGAGATTGGAATCGACGGGAGGTGGAGAATCTCACTGTGACTCAGTCGGTGTGACGGGAATGCAGGATGAATGAATGAATACCTGTGCAGCGTGACAGTGAGAAGCAGGCAGTTTCACTTTGTTGACGGTGTGTGGTGACTTGTAGATGAGAGGAGTTCGTGTGAATGGGAGATGACAGACGTGTGAGAGAATGTGAGTGAGTGAGTGAGTGAGTGAGAGGGTGATTGTTTGAATAAAGTAAAAGTTGGGTGTGTGTGATTGGGTATGTGTGTATGCATGCATGCGTACGTGACTGAGTGCGTGTGTCCACGTATTTGTGTGTGTCTGTTTGGTTTTGTGTAAGTCGCTGCTTCGAATCAGTGTGTGCATGAATATGTGACTCATTCATTGATTGAGGAGGCGACTGAGAGATTGATTTTCGGAGAGACGAGATGCTGGTGTGCACGTGAGAGAGGTGGAGAGAGTGAGAGAGTTTGAAAGGGAGAGGGTGAGAGGGAGAGAGATTAATTGAGAGTTGGCGTGTAGAATTCGAATTCGAATTCGAATTAGCATTGACTTTCATTTGTGATGTTGACAGAGGGATTTGTATTGTGAGCGTGCAGTGTGGTGGACATCGGAATAGATTGGGTGTGTGAATTTGTGAAATGTTGGGATGGATTGTAGTGCGAGAGACTGTGGCCTGTGTGAATGTGGAGTGTATGAATTGTGTTGGTAATTTGTGAGTGATAGTGTGAGTGTGTGTGTGTGTGCGTTGTGATAAGATGTAGTGTATGTTGTCGAGGATGTGATGAGAAGTGTGTTGGCGGCGAATTGTGGCTCGTTGGTCTAGGGGTATGATACTCGCTTAGGGTGCGAGTGGTCCCGGGTTCGAATCCCGGACGAGCCCAGGTTTTAACAAAACACCCCACACACTCACACATACCCCTACACCACGCCACGCCACGCCACGCCCACCCACCCACACACACACACACACACACACATACACTACACGCGGACGGCCAGAATCCGTTGACAAACAGACATATCAAAGTGCACACGCTCACAGATATGTGTCAATCAACACGAATACAACGAGACTAATACTACTCTCAAACAATTCACACTGACACACAAACAAACTGCCACAAACACACATACACACCAAGACACTCACACCAAAAATAATCGCATCACACAAAACTCCGACAACACGAATCGCCAGTCACCAGCTACTAACGACAACCAGCTGATTGATACACATACACTCGAATCGACAACACTCCAAACAGTGTCACTCACCATGCTCCAATTCAACCGACAC